ACATTTTAATTGACGCAATACTTGTGAACCTATCGTGATTTTAAAAAAGTTCATTTTTTTTGCACACCACTGTATATTACCTTCTAATGGGGAAGCTTTTTTAGCATCTGAAACTAGCTCTAATGTAAATGAAAAAAAAATAATTTTAGAATATCCAATTGTCAAATTAACTCATTTTAGTCATATGAAGCTTCATAACTTTTATTCCTTTTTCTTGTTTAGTGAAAATGTTTTATCTTTATTACACTCTTACCTTTATAATTACTATTAGACATTGTTAAAATTTATAATCAAAAAATAAGTTTTTTTTTTTTTAAAAAAAAAAATTATTTCAAATTACTTGTATAACGATAACAGATACATAATTGTCAAGTTATGTAGATCTTACCGTAGATGTATGTGAGGCACAGCACATTGGTGATAATTTTAATCAGAAAAATTTTTTGTTCTATGATTTTATCACATTAATCATTTTAATTGTTAAGAAATTTAATTAATTTTTTTTTTTTAAATTAAAATTATTTGCACTATAATGCAGTGGGTTAATTGTTTGAAGTCCCCGGTGACAAATTATATCACGTGAAATTTCGTGACATTTTTTGAAGGCCACAGATTGAACAATTATCATGAGCAAATTATGTAGGTTCCATAGTGTAACTAGCATTGTTCGATCATTTTTTCTTAGAAAAATCAAGAAAATAAAATACTATAACAAATCGCGTCCTTTTTCACAATGCATTTCATTAAAAATTGAGTAATGTCCTACATACGATATGATGTTTGAAACGGAGCATATACCAAAATGCTATAAAATTAGGTGGCGCAATAATAATTCATCAACTTTAACCTATTTGAGAAGCAAAAGCTATCAATATAGTTAAATTTCAGCCAGAAAGAAATTTTGACATTTTGATTTCTGGCATATTGTAAAAGATCATTTCAATAAGGCACACAAATGGTCTACGAATATCTAACTAGCAATTATAATTATTAACATTATGACAACCTGGCACCGTGACAGCTGGCAAATGATCGTCAAAAAGACTAACTGTAATTATCAAAAGCGATTTACATGCGGAGTTATGAAGAATTCGGCCGGAATTACATTCAATCGTAACAATAGTTCAATCCAACTATCATTTTTTTCATGTTGTTTCAGAAGGGTAAGAATAAGCAAATGATACTTTATAACGTGATGATTCATTAATCACATTAGACGAATCTATGGGAATTAAACGAAAAATTAAGAATGTACAATCTCTTTTTGGCCCATCGAAACTTATAGAAGACTATTTTCGGTGATTGATCAGGAATTTTCTGTTTTCGAACAATACAAATTGTAAAGCAAGAATGTTGTAAACATCAAATTAAAAAAAAAATAATATCACATATGATGTATATTCCAATTCATGACTTACTTGCAGAATGAATTCCGTCCGCGCCTACCAAGAAATCTCCACTCTCTTTCGTACCATCTTCAAAAATAGCCCAAACTCCTTCCTCATTTTCATGGTATCCAACACATTTTACCCCATTGCACGTCAATACCTCTAATAATAAATCTCTCAATCTACCCTACAACTTACAATAAATGTAAATTGATTATTTAATTTACTGAATTCATAAACATTCTTAACTTGATATCCTGGAGTTTTAAATAATATATTTCCTAAATGATCATGAACCGTTACAACATGATTTTCAATTCCATCGCCAATTGGATCTGGTACAACTTCATGAATTCTCGTAGCAATAGCTTTCGGAATACGTTTTAATAATGATTTTACTCTCATGCATTGTAATGTAATATGATAACATTGCCAACGATCTAAATTTATGAAATGAGGGAATTTAAGGACGTAAGGTTGCCGGGTTTCCGGGCAAAACCCGGAGGTTTCAACAGGTATCGAAAAGGTTTTGACTTTTGCCAAAATGGTATTAGGGTATTGCCCGTAACCCTAAAAATACCACATCAGTACCTTGTGGGTTTGGTTCAGGGTCAATGATTTTTACATTAAATTTCTTTTCGATCGTGTTATGATTTTTTTTGAATTGAATGCGCTAAAGCTAGCCCATCTGGGCCTGCTCCAATTATAAGGATTGTAGGAAGTTTACGTTCACCCATTTTCATATCATTGAATTTCTTTAAATACGGATATAAATAAATTTTGAGAAACGATAGAGTTTTTAGAATTAAAAATTTAAAGCATTAGCACTTTATTAAAAAACAAGTCGTTGACTCCAAGGATTAAAAGTTTCTATGTTAAAATATAAAAAGTATGAAAGGGGTGTAATGATAAAAAAAAAAAATAATAATGAATTTTACGCGCGAAAATTAAATGATCAATAGTATCGTTACTAATTTGGAAACTCGTACGACTTTATACAATGTAGGGATTCCTAAAATGTCGATCATTTTCAGAATAGCCCGAATCCGAATAAATATCAGTTGTCTTGAAAAATATATTATAAAGTTAATTGGCGATTGTGGCTACATATAAACTTTTATTTATTAATTAACTAGCAATAGCAAACCTTAAAGCCATAATCAAGCTGCGCATATCTTAATCATATGAATTAAAAAATTTTCGGAACGTATAAAATTTCTTTGTCCTCTCAATCTTTTTGCACTATATTCTAAACATCATATTTGGTTCTAAGTAAATGTTGTACTGCTGGTTTTGTAATATATTATTATAAAATTTTATGTAATTTGGTTATTATAAAATCGAGTTACGAACATAGTAAATCATATGAACCGTAACGTACTTTTAATCCCATTTCGTTAAGTAAATTTTATTAGATTATTAGAATTTTTAAACAAGGAATTCTCTGTATAAACCATTATTAAATTTTCCGAATAGATCTTAATTTTTTGTGGTATGCACCTTTCCTATTTCAGTAAGTTCTCGCTTATTGACATTTTAAATAAATAATTATTAACAAAAATTATAAAAAAGCTTTTTAAATAAACAATAATTTTTTAATAAAATTATTTTTATTGAATTTAATATTATAAGATAATTGTTTGTTATATTATTAAATAATTCATTTTAATAAAACTTTCAAAGACAATGCACTTGGAGATTATCAACTAACGATCTGATAAACATGCATATTTGACCTACTCTCCTAGTCAAAAACCATTTTAGGAAATCCAGCACACGGTTAGAGCTAAGGTTAAAAATGAAACATTAAATTAGTTACCTGAAAACCTTTTCGCAATTATTCATTTATTTTAATTTTACTTTAAAAAAAAATCATTATTTTTTAGTAGATCCAAATGTTATTTTTTTTCTTGTTCTTTTGTTTTCGGTAAAGGAATTTACCTTCCTAAAATACAAATAAAATGAGCTTGGTATTGTACTAGTTTAGGCATAAAAAGGTTGAAAACGAGCTATAATTTACATCCCAGATATCAAACATATTTTTTTAAAAAAAACTTCTGCAAATAGGGTGAAGCTTAGGCGATACTTCGCATAAAAAAGTTGAGAACGAGGCTTTGCTTACATCCCAGTTTCCAAAAAAAGCCCTAAAGAGTTCTAAAATATGGTAGGTTTTGTAATTGCTTTGGCGAAGCTTCAACATAAAAGGTTAACCCTGCGTAGTGCTTCGAAAGGGTCGGGTCAGACCCGGGTGATCGACCCGACCCGGATTTTAAATCGAGTCAGGGTTGGTAATTTTAATGAC